TCATTCATTCATTCATGAATTCTATTTACTTACCTTGTAAGAACGAGCAACATCAGGTACTTTACCCCATTCATTGGTTAAACGATTTTTAATATTATTTGCTTCGTTATTTTCTTCATTGACAGCACTAAAATGAAATATAAAATTTTATTGCTATTTGATAAGAAGAAATTCTGTACTACAATTAAAATCATCTTCACATGAACTTTATCTTTTACTCATTCTCTATCGATAACGATCGTATTACATGTTTTTTAAACGATCTCTATCGATTGCCTTTGAAGAAACAACTGATCGAATCTAAACCTTATTCTCTTCAAGAAATTATCAATGACATACGCGATAAACATATTGTTTGAAATGTTATCTAAATGACCACGATATTTCAACCATGGACCAGCAGCACTAATATGATCTGTTGTACATTTTCCTTTAATTTTAATAAGAACTGGGAAATCAATATAATCTTTTCCATCCCATGGTTTAAATGGTTCAAGTAATTGAAGACGTGCACTCTTTGGATCAACATCAACTTTCAATGAAGTACCATCTTTTGGTGGTTCTTGATAAGTATCCTCACCTGGATCGAAACCTTTGGATGGTAAATTATCGCCAGTTGGTGGTTCTAATTTAAATTTACTACCATCAGCAGCGGTTAATGAATCTGTTAATGGATTAAAACGAAGATCACCACTTAAAATCATTGCTGTAACAAGATCTGGTGATGTTACAAATGCATGTGTTTGAGGATTAGCATCATTACGACCAGTAAAATTACGATTATATGATGAAATAATTGTATTTTTTTCACCTTTCTTTATATCTTTACGATCCCATTGACCAATACATGGACCACATGCATTAGCTAAAACAACACCACCAATTTGACGAAGTTTTTCAGCCTGTAAAAATAGAAAATAAATATTCGTAAAAAACAACAACAATAACAACAACTTACAATTCCATCACGTTCAATTGTAGCTCGTACTTGTTCAGAGCCAGGTGTTACAGTAAATAATGATTTAGCTTTAATACCTTTATTAATTGCTTGTTGAGCAATATTTGCTGATCGTGCCATATCTTCATATGAACTATTTGTACAACTACCAATAAGACCTTTTAAAATAGAATATTAGAAAGAAAATATTTTTTCAATTGATTTATTTCCATTTCTTACCAACGCGAATATCTGTTGGCCATTTATTTTTTTCAGCTTCTTTGCCTAATTTATCAATTGGATGAGCAAGATCAGGTGTAAATGGACCATTGACATGTGGTTCGAGCTAAAAATATTCAATAAGAAAAAAAATAAAATCATTTTTTTTTGTTACTTCAGATAAATTGATATCAATAACACGGTCATATTTAGCACCTTCATCTGCAGTTAATAAAATATCTCGATATTCATTAGCAAAGTTAGCAATATCTAATTAGAAGAAAAAAATAGATATTATTTTAAAATAAAAGGAATCTTACCTTCACGTTTTGTTGCTGTAAGATATTCAGCCATACGTTCATTGTAAGGAAAAACAGATGTTGTTGCTCCTATTTCTGCACCCATATTACAAATTGTACCCATGCCTGTATAACAAACAAATCAAATATTTTCAAAAAAATCAAAAAACAAATATATTTACCTGTGCATGAAATTGATTTAACACCGGGTCCAAAATATTCAATAATTGCACCAGTACCACCTTTAACTGTTAAAATACCAGCTAATTTAAGGATAACATCTTTTGCTGATGTCCATCCACTTAATTGACCTGTTAATCGAACACCAATAACCTTAACAAAAAAATTATCAGATTAAATTTGAACATATATATTGTTTTTCTTTACTTTTGGACATTTAAGTTCCCATGGCATATTAGCCATTACATCAACGGCATCAGCACCACCAACACCAATACAAAGTCCACCTAAACCACCACCATTTGGTGTATGACTGTCAGTACCAATAAGTAATAAACCAGGATAAGCATAATTTTCAAGAATAATCTAGATAATTACATATTTCGTTTTTTTTTATTACTTAAAATTTTTCTCAATAACATACTTGATGAATAATACCACTACCCGGTTTCCAAAATCCAATATCATATTTTGCACTTGCTGTAGCCAAGAAGTTATATACTTCTTTATTTTGATCCTAAAAAATAAAACAATATTTTTGAGATTATCATCAAACAAAATAATAACTGTCACTATTGATTGCGTTGATGCTTATGTTATATAGCTACGATTATTTGTAGAAACAAAAAAATATTGATCTGTCAAGTTTATTTTCGATTAGTGTATCGTGCAATAACGAGATTAATTATTCGCCATAATTTATTATTATTTTATCAAAATAGGCAAAACAAAACACACTTTAGGTGTTTCTTTTTTATTTATTCACCTGTGAAATTATCTAGATTGCAACAGTGCGTGACGCTCTTAACGCCTTTCCTTATCCAATGTAGATAATTGGATTTTATTACGACAGAACTTTTTTTAAATTTGCTTCCTATGAAAATTAATAATACCTTTGCTCGTTTTAAATCTTGATCACCTCCGAGTTGTGCTTCAATTAAATGATCACAATGAATTGTTGTTGGACATAATACATTGGGTAAACCAGATGAAATAAATTGAAGTACAGCCATTTGTGCAGTTGCATCTTGCATAGCTACACGATCAGGACGTAAACGAAGATAAGATTTACCACGTTCAAATTGCTATTTAAATAAATAAATAAATATTTTTTATTTTTTAGATTCTTTTTGCTTCTTACTTGAGTTTTCGGATCATCAGCATGTGAATAAAGAATTTTTTCCGAAAGTGTTAATGGTTGATTAAGTCTAGATAATCGAATTTTTTGTTATAAATAATAGAAAAAAAACAAATCGAACCTTTTCTTAACAATTTCTAACGTTTGTGCTTGTTTTTCATAATTTACATATTTATTAGGTTCAAAACGTGATAAAGATACCTGAAATGATAGAAAAAAACAATGATGAAAAGTATTTTTTTGTTTTTTCGAACTTCTTTAGGTTTTGTTGATGCGTAAACTGTTCGAGTCAAACAAAGACGTCGAATAGGCGAAATTGTTTGCGTAGCACAAGCAAACTAAATGAAGAATTTTCATAATTTAATAATTTAATTAATTGTTTTCGTACTTTTTCAACGCTAGAAATCAATGAGACGCTGTTTCGAGCCAACATTGTTGTTTCTATAAAAAGAGGTGAAATGAAATGAATATAGATGCAGAATAACAAACAAACATACAGGCAACTAATAGAGGTCGCTACAATCGCTCCTAATTTATTTTATTTAAAACATATTTTATATAATTCAATCTCAAAAATAAAATAGAAATACAACAGAAAATAAATTCTTAGTTATTATACTTCAATTTGAATATTATTGGTGAACATATAATTACCAATTATATACTTTCATACGATTTCTCTTCTCTGGCAGATTGATGAAGAGAAAAAAAACGTAAAAATTTTTTTTGAATATTTCTTTATAGCCTTAAGGAATTTTATTTAGGTGAGTTTTCAATAAGTGAATATAAATAATGACTCAGTATTTTTAATGAAAAAAATCTGCAAAATATTTACTACTTCAGGCACTTGTCTAAAAATTAAAATCAAGTATACCCGGTTTCCAATACAATAAAAAGCAATTTTCAATAAAAAAAAATGAATATGTGTTATACTCACTGAATAGACATTATTTTAATTACCATATACCTATGAATACTATATAGATGAATCGATAGTCGTTCATATTTCTTTCAATTGATATTCTAATAAATCTATGACCTTTACTATCATTACTTTATATGTGACCTATTTTATATAAATTACACTTTTCGCAGTGAAGAAAAAAATTTATTTCAAGCACATGATCTTTTTTTTTTTGTCAGCAACAGATATTTTTATTTATTCTCTTGGATAAAGTTAAATTTATCATCAAGAATAGAAACATATATGACAAAGTACTCTTATTTTCTCTTTCGTTTCTTTCAACCTTTTATAAATTTTGTAGATATAGAGTTTATATATAATTTCTCTTATTCATTCTTTTTGTTTTATATGTAAGTATCTCACATTCACTCATCATTTCTCGTTACTGATAAGAATGAATGAAGATGCATACACCTGTTACTTTTTGTTTTTTATTTATTTATTGTTATAGATGTTTAGTGTAAAATAAAAAGAAGATTTAAATTATATTTTGTTTGTTTTTAACATTCCACTGAAATATTTATAATGGACGTACAAGTGTCAATGCCTCCTCCACCTCCTCCGCCACCACCGCCACCACCACCATTTTTTGCCGAAACAGTAACTTCACAACTAACAGTACCACCACCTCCTCCACCTCCACCTTTTCCACAGTCAACTATAACGACGACTACAGCAGTAGCACCACCATCAACAACAGCAAGTGTAGCTGGTCCCTCTACTCAAGAGCGTATCTGGTTGCATCCATGGACAGCAGCAGAAATGCGTCAAAATGCATCACAGTGGTCATTAGCTGGTGATGCTGGTGTAAGCAGAGAGAATTTCTTGAAAAATAACTTGATATTATTTCTTATTAAATTATTTCTAGTTACTACTTTATTTGGAAAATTTTTCGGATAAATTAGTTCAACGAGCTGATGCTATTCAACAACATTTAAGTCAAACAGTAAATGCTGTTAAAGTATGTTTCATAAGATTTCAATACTAATATCCATTGGTACATGTTATTAAATTTAGAGCACACATACACGTGTTCAAAATTGTCTTAATGAATTTACATCTCTAGCAAATACACAATTTATTGAAAACGTAAAATAAACAATACATCTTTTGATTGAGTATCAATTATTATTATATTTTTTGTTTTAGCGTGTCTATGATGAAGATGAAACAGCAAATGTAACACCATCTAAAAAAGATGAACCATCAACGGTAAGCAAAATAAATATTGTTGTTGATTAATAGATTTATGCAACATATTGATAGTATTAAATTTTTCATAGTTTTTTGAAGGATGTGGGCGGTCAGAGTAAGGTTAATGTAATAACCACACTCACACCTATGTTTTAGAGAAGTTATATTATTAAATATTTTATTTTTAGGACAAAGCAAATGTTAATAATATTGAAGCACAAGAAAAAGTCTTACAACGTTATGTTGAAGCTGTTCAATATGGTTTAGCAATACTTGAAACACATTTTGAACGTGTTGATACTAAATTAGATGTTGCTCAAAATGGTAGTTCATCATATGTTGATGATGAAGAAGATGAAGGAGTACCAATTGAACCTATACTTGAACCAAAAGATCCTTACATATATCGACCATTACCGTTTCTTATTGGTAGTTCTGAATTTATGCAAGATGATTATATTGGTTTAGGTGATTTATTAAATCCAACAGATGAAGAAGAACTTATTGGTGCAGAAATTAGAAAAGTTGATCCGTATTCTGTAAATTTTTCATTTGAGTACATTGTTATATTGATAATATTTTCATTTACTCTTTAGTCGCTATCAAGTTCTGATGTCGAAGACGAAAACAAAGACGACCCCGATTTTGTATGAATTTTATATATGATCTTATATATTTCTATATTTTACTTTTTTTTTAGACAGCTTATCCGTCTTCTGTGCCAATCGTTCCAGCTGGTACTAGTCGTCCAGGTTTATAATATAAAAAATTGAGTTTATTTTTGTTAACGAAATTTTATAGATGCCGCCAATCAACTACGACAACCAACAACTGTATTAACTGATACTGATGATGACGATGATCCATTTAAAATAGCTAGTAATCGACCATTCGATGATTTCGCTTCATCAAAACCAGTATATTAGTTTACAAAATATGATAAATATATATTTCCTGTTGTTTAACTAGGTTGCTAATGATAATTCTGATAAAAAACAAACCATTCCTCCAAAATCGAATCAACCAAATTTTGGTTCAGGTTAGTAGAAAACATACAATTGTTCATCCTACATTTTGAATATATTTATCTACAGGATCAGATGATGATGATGAAGATGATGATCCACTTTTTAATCCAGTTAAGAAACCACCGCAGATCAGCAAAAATCGTAATGATGATATTTTTGATAAACAGTCTTTAACCTCGAAAGAATCTGATGAATCTGAAGAACCAAAACAAGAAACAGATACACCAGCACCTGTCAGTGAAAAAAAAGTTATGACTGCACTTGAAGAAGCTGTTCAACGACGATGGGAAAAAATGCAAAAACTTGAATCACAACAAGGCAATGAAGAAAGTGATGTGAAAATTCCAACAAAAACATCAAATGAAACTATGTAACTATTTTATTTGATTAATTATTTTTTAAAGCCTTTCTTAAATTTAGTTCTCCACTTGGTAATAAAACAACAATAAAACCTACACCAGAACTATTATCATCAACTACCATGTATGTGTTTCAATTAAAAAATTAATTAAATAAATACTATTATGAAATAATTTAGTTCTAGTCTTGTTCCAAAACAAATAATAACAGCAGAAAAGGTAAATTAGATAATACTTTTTATTATATTGATATGAAGTTTCCTTTGTGTAGAATCCTCCTTCATCAATATTTGGTCAACATGCTACACCAGACGATGATACTGATGACGATGATTTTTTCAAAGATGCACCAAAACTACCACCAGTAACAAGTGTTCTACCAGCACTAATTCCTAAAATTGAAACAAAACCATCACCATCACTAACTACAGTAGGAAAAAAAAAGTACTACGTTTGATTTTGATTCGGATAATGATGAGGATGATGATCCATTTCGACCGAAAAAGAAAGATATTTCATCGACAATACAAAAGAAATCAAACAATTCAGATTTAAAACCTCCAACAACAGTCATAAATAAAACAAAACCAATTATTCCAGATGATGAAAGTGACGATGATTTATTTCCGACTTCAAAACCCAATAAACCACAACTTCCACCAGCAAAAATACAAACATCGGATGATGACGATTTTTCATTTACTTCAAAACCGTCAATACAAAAACCACCTACTGTATCTACTATTTCTTCTCCTGCTCCTGTAATTCCTCAAGTAGTTACAAAACCTATATCTGCAGTTGAAGAAGATAGTGATGATGAGTTATTTCCGACTTCAAAACCTAGCAAACCACAACTTCCACCAGCAAAAATACAAATATCCGATGATGAAGACTTTTTAGTTACTCCTAAACCGTCAATACAAAAAACACCTACTGTACCTACTATTTCTTCTCCTGCTCCTGTAATTCCTCAAATAGTTACAAAGCCTATACCTGCAGTTGAAGAAGACAGTGATGATGAAATATTTGGTATATCAAAATCAACATCGAAAGCACCACCAACCGTAATACAGAATATTGTTACACCTGTTAAACCTAAAGATGATGTATTTGGTATATCAACCACTGAATCCAATAAAAAAAGAACAGAAATACCAAAAATTCCTTCACCTACGAAATCTAGTGATGATGATGAATTGTTTGGTGGACCAACAACCAAACATAAAATACCATCAGCACAACTTCCTAATGCAACATCAGCCAAATCTAACAAGGATGATGAACTATTCCCTGTTAAGCCAACTCATGTTGAATTACCACCACCTGTTAGTTTAATTCCGTTGCCTCAGCCACCACCTGTGACAACTATTGTTGATGAAGATCCTTTATTTGCAATTTCAAAGCCTATTGAAACTATATCATCATCACGACCAACTGCCGAATCAATTAAAATACTATCAGGTACAGGTGTTCAATCAGAAAAGAAAACATTTTCTGACAGTGAAGATGAAGCACCATTGCCAAAACGACAATTGAATACTGCAGCATTAAAAGAAGGTGAAAAACCAAATGTTAAAGGTCTTGCAGTAAGATAAATAAATTCTCAAAAACGAACATTTTTTCATTATTCTGTTTTTCTCTAGGGACTTTTAAATATCAATCCGACTGCTCATAAACCAGGTGCACGTCCAAAACCATCGTCAACTACTGAACAATCGCCGAAGGCATCTGTGAATGATGAACAACCTCCAGTATCTGTTGTAAAAAAACCACTTAAAGATGATTCCGATAGTGATGATGATTTATTTCCTACCAAGAAAACAGTACCGTCAGCGGTTCCAGTCGTTGAACAAAAAGAAAAGACTCGTGATATAAAAGAAAACGGAGGACTTAGTAGTGTGAAGGCTCTCGCGGTAAAAACAATATTTTTTTTTGTTCTTTCGTAATAAAAATCTGTAAATCTTAATTTTAGGCTGGTCTAAAAATAAATCCAATGATGCAGATGGCAGGTGCTCAACCGAAACCAACTTCTAAGCAAGGAGAGGAATCAGATTTTACTACGCCTACAACTTCAACTGATGTATCAAAAGAAGAATCAACAGCTGATAAAACTGTTTCAGATATGCTTAAAGTAATTCTCTCATGAATTTTCTATATATATATATATATATATATATACATATCTGTATTTAAGGATCGACCTAAACGACCTGTCGGAACTCGAACATTACCAAGTAGAAAACCACGTTCAACTGGAGCTGCAGCAATTACCATTTCTACAAATGAAAATGATGATCTTTTTGCTTTGTCTAGTTCGACTAACACTGCTGCATCGTCATCATCTTCTCCTCCACCTCCTCCTCCTACTACTACTACCGTTCCAATAATTCCTCCTACAATGCCTGTAACAGGTTTGCCAGATAATATTGCTACTATTGCTGCTAAATCTAATAAACATAATAATTCGAAAGAAAAGAAAAATATTTCGCTATTTGATTCTGATGATTCTGATATTGATGAATTGCTCTTTGGCTCCAGCAAGAGTATGCTCATCTACTTCAATTTCATTTTCATTTATTTATCTTCTATCTAGAGAACAAATCTACCACGGTAACAAAACCAACAACTACAGTAATTTTAGTTCAATAATTAAATTTAAAAGTATCATTTTGATGTTTTTCAGTCATCAACAACTTCGAAAGTAACTACGAAATCTTCTATATTATCATTAGATGATGATGATGATTTTTTATCAAAACGACCAACCAAAAAAAATACAAAACCAGTTGATAATGATGATATATTTGCTGATGTCAACAATAAATCCCAACCGGGAAATAAAGCTAAAAAAGATTGGTCTATTATGAATAAATCAGGAACAAATGATACAGGTAAAGATGATTTTTTCTATCTTCTATTATTTCAAATATTTTCTATTTTAGATGATATTTTTAATGACCTAAAATCAAAGTCTTCCAATACTTCAAAACCAAAATCAACAAATGTTAATAATAAACCAGCCAAGGATTTAGATGATATATTTGATGATCCACTTAATGTCACGTCTAAACGATAAATAAAAACTTGCCTTTAATTAAAACTAAAATCCTAATTTTGCATTTCGTTTTTTTCTTTCTTCGTATTTTGTGCAATATATATAAATAAATAGAGTTTATTTTTAACTTCGTAATCGAACAGAAATTTTTATATATTATTAATACAAAAAAAAGAATATATATAATGTTTTTTTTCTTCTTATTTATTCTATTATCCATTGAAACAAATAATATAAAATACTTAAAGAGTGTTTGTTTTGAAGGTGCTTTTAGTTCTTCTATCGATGTTTATGGATTTTAATTACTAAAATACTTTGTCTTTATTGAGATATTCATGAAAAAAAACGATAGACTTCGAGTAATCGAGTTTATTATATATGTATGTTTTTCAAACGATGATGTATTTATCGTTTAATATGGATGATTGATTTCAAACTGTATATAATCGTTATTACGATAAGGTTTTCTTTCTTTTACCTCGTGCGTTCAAATGTTATTAAGAGCAATGAAGTGAATCTTACTATATTCGATGAGATGCATGATATGTAGAACGAATTAGAGATATAAATTCATCAAGAATTTATTCGTACAGTTGGATCTAGTAAATTCTCTTCGGTTGCAGTCATGTTCAATAAGAATACAAATACTTGTGAATGGGTGTGGATATCCTTTTCACTCCCACACCCTTTATATTCTTTTATTTTTTATTATTTGTATGACTCAATAACCCCGCAACGTACCTGCATTAAAATTGAATCAATGCAATAATTACCATATAATGGGTAAATGATACTATCATAAATAGAATAACATACATACTATTTTATTTATTTATGTTTGAGCAATTGCATAAGATGCAAAACTTTTCTTTAATATTAAATGTATGTTACCTATCGATAGACTTAATCAGATTCGTGAACAAGAAAGTTAACACATGTAATGTCTACGAATAATACTTTTCAATATGTGTTGGTGTTGTCAAGTAACATTCAATATAACATACTCTGAAAAAAAGTTTAAGGTATGTCAAAAAGATACATTTAGAAAAGAGAGTTACTGCGAACAACATATGCATAATTCTTTTAGTTTTATGCGACATCTTGATGACGTATCATAATATAAATGCTCATTTACATATTTAGTTTAACTTATTCTAAAAAAAATTTTCGCGACTAGATCTTGTATAACTCTTAATGCTTTATATCCATCTAAAAAGTTGTCAACATCATTTTGAAATCAATCGACAGAAATTAATCTCAATAAAATCTTATTTTTCGCATACTGTTTCATCCATTTCTTCTTGGTGACTGATACACATACGATATTCATATATAATGTAGTTTAAAAATATGGTAATAAAATTTCGAATGTAGTATTTTTTATATTGGTCGATGTTTTATTCATCTATACACCTATTGTTATACTCTAATATATCTATATATACAATGTTATTGTTGACGATTCTGTTTTGTTTCAAACTATTTGTTTACATATCAAACAAGAGAAACATGGATTAGACATAATGAGTTGAATTGATTAGCTATAATTTATAGATCAAATTTTCTTATAAAAACAAACGAATATTTCAGTACTAACTAAAATATAATTTTATAGTTTATTCATTTTATATTTGATGAAAAATTGAATAAACATAATATTCATCATGAATATGATCAACATCATCCGAATAGATTGGAAAAAGCCTATAAAGTTTCTAAAAGTTTAAAAATTTTAGGAAGATCTTTGATGAAATATCAGTATTTGTAAAAGTTTTAGATAATTATCAAACGAAGTGTGCATAACATTAATCATTTTCAAAATTTTCAAGGCGGTTCTAATACTAGATGAAGAGTTAAAGTTATAAAAATATTATGTTATATTTCTGTTTACAATTGTGTTTATCCTTCTTGTGCATCTATTTTTTTACTCGCTCAAGGTCATAATATCCAATTAGTGATTATGTCTCATCGTATTGCACAAGATACCTGGTATAAATCATTTTGATACTTATTTGCTTTAGAATCAAAATAAATTAATTTATCTAGTATTTTATCCTAAGATAATCTCTCTTATGTTATTATCAGATAGTTAATCGCTTCTATAAAAAGAAATAATATTCAAATGAAAACATTTCATATATGATGAACTAATCTGTCACGCGTTGTTTCTATAGAATATTAAATTTAAAGACATTTGAAGAAGTTAATACCACAACATAAAACTATTAACGATGAATATATATTGGATAATAAGTCTATGATCCAAGATTGACAATATTTTGGATATTTGCATGAAATATTATGAATGAATCTTTTATATTCATATATTACATATAAAAACAACTATTACTGTAAACAAAAAAAATAAAGAATGGGTGGTGTCTTTGTTATTTTCTTTCAAAATAAACCCAGTCATTGGTGCAACGATTAATGAGTGCAAAAAAAAGTATTTTTTTTTATGAAGGTTATACTTTTTCATGCTATATCCAGTGAAGCATGTGAAGGAAAGACAAAAAGAAAAATGGGTACGTCTTTGTATTTTGTAATAGGCCGATAATACGTTCTTTACTGTATTATATTTTATAATACTTTAAAATGAAGGATTCATTCAAGCAAGAATAATTACACAAAAGAAATAATGATTGATGAAATGACATGAGATCAAGGTAAAACTGAAGAAGCTATTGTTGACAAGAATACAGATTTTATCGAAGGTTTTGTATTTAATTGCCAATTAGTTTTTAATATTCTTGATAGGATGGATATGTCTATAAGATAATTATAAAAAGAAACCTGACTTTATCTAATACGATTTAGAAGAGAAACCTGATATAGGTATGACTTTTATGAATCTTCTATACTCAGATGTGATTGGTTAAAAGTAAAAATTCTCAAGGTAGATATACAGTACGACAGTAATTTGCCTATACATAAATAGATTACTTGTGTATGACTAACTATAATAATAATAACAAATCGATTTTATTTTCAAAGGTATATTTATCTAATATCAAAACAAATATATTCAGGCGTGCCTATTTGGACGTATTTTACGGTGCGAATGTAGGAGTAAAAGCATAAATTAATATTCATATTGTAGTCACGTTTATTCAGCATATATATACACGAAGAATAATATCATTTATTTATTAAATCGATTAAAGCAAAGTAATGGCAGTCGTTATATCACAACCCAGGTATATGTTTTTTACTCTATGTTCAGTTTTTTTGAATCATTGTTTCTTGTAGACGAGTTAACACCACTGGTCCAGTGTTGGCTGCCGTTTGTTGTTTAGGACTTTTACTGTTCCTCATTGCAGCTACAATTGTACTTTCACTTATTCCCGTCTATCTTTCACGTCGTAACGGAAATCGAGCTCAACCTTATGTGGGTCCTGTTAGGCAAGTGCAATACAAACTTCCTGGTACTAATTATCCTAATGGACCTCTGACACAAGCACAACTCGCTTATATAATTGCACAGGTAACTAATATAATTCATTAAAGTCACGTTCATTTTCTCTCTCTTTTTTATAGTATCAAACAAGTATCAATAACCATGGATCAACAGGTAAATCAACTATCAGCTCACCAGGTGCTTCAGTGAGCACTACAACAAGCAAGGTAAGCTGATAGTTTTTTTTGTTTTCATGTATCAATTGATAAACATGTATTTAGAAGCGAAAACGACGAGGCATAATTCAAATCCTGACGTTCTTGTATCAGATTACATATCCCATAGGAACTCCAGTTCATCAACGATCTATAATCCTTACTATAATTGATGCCATCGTTACCGTACCTCTTAGTGATTACACTGTTCTGAGTAAGTATATACGTATATATATCTCATATTAAAATAAATTCGCTTACATTTCTGATTAAAACAGAAATATGTGAATGTAAAAAGAGAAGAACATAGAGAGATGCCATGATTCTTTCAAAAGCTATTTGTTTTATACATATTTGAGAGATTTTCTGTCAAATATATCAGATTTTTGTTCACATAAATTGATGTTGTTTTAAAAATTTATTCAATTTGAAATATTATGAGATAATATATGAAAAAAAAACTGTACAGTGTTACTTACTGTAAAATCTCTAGTTCTATGAAAAGGATATTTAAAAGCAGTTTATTTTATACCCATAATTACAGTGACAGGAATAAGATTATTTATATTTTAGCAACTTCAACATCAACAACAACAGCAATAACAGCAACAACAACACCAACAAGTAGTGCAGGTGAATATACACTTTTGTTTTCTTCGTTTCGTGTCTTCCCTTTACTGATATTGACAAAAATCACAGTTTACTAAATATGACTATGAAAAACAAGATAAAATATAAGTTGAAAAAATTCTCACTTTTATCTATCGTTTTCGAAATTACATATTAGTTTGAAGTCATTCCAATTACTTTATTAACAACCTCTTTGATATTTGTAAAATATGATATATTTTCTTTCTATACAGCCGTCGTAGGCTATGCTCCTACCAGCACGGGCTGTTCAGGCAGTCCAGTTATCGTTCCTGCAACTGCTCTATATCCTGATGAAGCAACTTGGCTTCAAAGCCGCGCGCCTATTGCCGAAACATCGTTAAGAGCTTGGCTCACTAAAATCGGGTTGAGTGCGAGTGATTACAATGCAAGTACAGTAGTTCCTCGTGTTGGTTTGACGACATCTGGTGGTGGTTATCGTGCACTGCTCATTGGTGCTGGCGTCATTCAAGCTATGGATGGACGTGAAACATTAGGATCACCACTTGCTGGTCTTCTTCAAGGGATTACATATCAAACGGGTACATCAGGTGGTGCATGGTTGCTTACTTCATTTGCTGCAAACAATTATCCAACTATTTCTTCATTACGAGATTCATTATGGATTCAAAGATTTAAATACTTTCTTATTCTTCCAAATCCTGACAAACTTGATTACCAAGCAGTTGCCATTGCTCAAATTCTTGCCAAGAAAAATGCTGGCTTTAAAGTAACAGTAGCAGATGTATGGAGTCGAGATT